CAGCTGGGGTTGTCACCCTAGGGGAGCGCAGAGTCTGCCCCGTGGGGCTTCTGGAGCAGCCCGGGCCCTGTCCTCCCCTTCACACCTTCCTTCTCAGGAAACGGGGTGAGCCCAGGCTGGAAACCCCCCACCTGTTCTGGATCCTGTTTCCACTGGTGCCAGCAGAGGCAGTGGCCTCCAGGTAGGTCCGCCCTGGCCAGCGTTCCTCATTTTCAGCCCCTGGCCAAGCCACCTCCCCACTCCCCACTCCAACCACCCCGCAAGCTGTACCTTCCTCTTTTCGGGAGGGCTCTGGCGGGTTCCCCTTTTCCTCCTGCGCCGGAGAGGGCCAGCCCACCTAAGCGCAGAGGGGGCAGGATTAAAACCAGGCTCTGAGGGCCCACTCAACAGGGAATCTGGCAAACCCAGGCAGACACTTGGAGCCCAGGAGCCAGACCTGCCTCAGGGATCCCAGCGTTCTGGGAAGGGGGTTCCAGGTTCCGACAAGCCTTCTCTGCTCTCCTGCCCTGTGTATCTGGGCCCACTGCTAGCCCAGTCAGCTCCCACCAGGTTAGGGAAGCAGCAATAAAGACTGCTGGGGTCCTTAGGGTTGGGAAGAAAACTGAGTGAGGGAATTGGGAGGGCTGAATTGGGGGTTTCCGGGTAAACTACAGAACATCTAGTTAAATTTGAATTTCAGGTAAACGATAAATACTTTTTGAGTATAAGTGCGTGCTGATACTGCATGTGGCTTATTTCTATTAAAAAATTGTTTCGCAGAAATTCAGCTCTAATTGGATATCCTGCTTTTAGGTTTGTTTGTTATTTTTTGCTAAACCTGGCTATTCTACCCCTGGTGCCCCTCCCCCCAACCCGGTGAGATCCAGAGTTTCCTGACTATCCAGCTCATATCCCAGGTTGGGCTGCTCTGCTCATTGATCAGGTCCTGAGGACCAAGAGGGCGTCTCAGGGCCCCCTGGCGCGCCTGGACAAGGGGCCCCTCTTGCTCTCTCTACTCTGCAACCCCACCTCTTCCTTCGGTCCCGGGTGGCAGCCGCAGGGGCAGCTGGGAGACTGCCCCAGGAAGGAGCCCACAGGGTACCGCACCTGGGGTCAAGGAATGGGCATAGCTGTTGCCCATGGGGGTTGGTGGGCCTGGTCCTGAAATGTCCACCCTGGCCCTTTGGTTAGAAGTGGTGGTGGAAATTTTGGGGGAGAGTGGGGGCATTTACTTTTCCAGGAACCTCATTTGTAACCTCAGATGCTGTTTATCCTGGGGGTGGGGGGTGCGCAGACCCAGAGGCTCCAGGCTCATTTTGTGAGACCGCAGGAGTGACCCTCAACAGCAGAGTAGATGGCCTCATTCTGTCCTCAGCCTGAATCCAGGCAAACACAGGGGTGCATCGAGAGTGTCCTGGAGGACTGTCCTCAGAGTATGTGAGATATACCCACATTTGATTTGATTGCCCAGGGAAAAATCGGGCTTGCGGGAAGGAGCCTGTTCTCCTGGGGACAGTGTCTCAGCTTGGTAAGCTTTCAGACTTGTACTTGGAAGCACAGACTTTGCCTCAGCCAGGCCCCACCTGCCCTTGGCTCCCCCCGCAACTCCAGAAGAGCAGGAAGGCCGGAGGGGGAGGTGGCGGTGGTGGAGGGGAGCAGAGGCTGGCTTCTGAGGGGCAAAGGTCAGTAGGCTGGAGCTCTTGGCCCCTTAGGGCTCTTACACTGTGCCTGGCCTGGCCCCTGACCCCACCAGCCCTGCCCCCCAGCCCCTGGGAGCCCAAGTGCCCCAGAACCACCAGCTCTGTTGAGACAGGAAAGCATGTGACAGGAAGGGAGACCTCCTCCTGCTGTCCCCTCTCCAGAAGAACCTCCCCCTCCCCTCCCATCTGCTCAGGGAAGGTGGGACTGTGACCCCTAAGGATCAGTTCTCAGTTCTAGGAGGCACCCCCCTCCTCACCCCCAGGGTCTTCCAGGCAGACATCTGAGCACACACCCCACCCCCACAGAGCCTGCTGGGCTCTATGACCTCTGGCCTTCACCCTACAGAGCTTTCCACCCTCCCCCACCGAGGCAGTGCTCCCTCCCGGACAGTTCTGCTCTGCCTCCCTGGAGGCCCTGATTTATGCCGCGGGAGCAGACAGAGCCAACCTTGGAGAAAGAATGGAGGAAGAGAGAAAAAACCAGTCCCAGAGGCTGCCGGGGTGGGGGCTGGGACACCCTGGCAGAGGGTGTCCAGCCAGTTGTGAGCTGACCACAGCAGCCCAGGGCTCCGGGAGCAGAGCCCGGGCCTTGGGAAAACTGAAGCCACCCTGGCGGGATAGGGAGCTGAGTCTGCACAAAGGCCTCTGCTCAGGAAATGGGGTGCAGGGAAGGTGGGGGGGGGGCTCAGAGCCTGAGGACAGGAGGGGACGCTTCCTGGCGGATGCGGGGTCAAAGAAGGGGCGGAAATGGCCAAGACAGCTGCTGAACATCTGGAATCACAGAGCCTTGCCCAGAGCCCTCAAGGACGGTGGGGTTGATGGGGAGCAGTGCACGCCCACGCCCTCCCCTTCCTGCCTCCCTGCAGGGCCAGTCTCTCAGTCTCCCCCCTCCCCCACTGTACCCCCCACCATCAGGGTAAAGTCTGGGTTGGGGTCAAGAGCCCAGCAGGCTGGTCTGATGGGGCCAAGTTCCCTGGCGCTCAGCCCCCCTGGGTGTTGCACAGCCTGTACCCTTCCTGCAGGTTCCGGCGTGTGGACAGTGCCTCCTGGCATCGTGCAGGCCATGGCCCCGCTCCTGGGATGGTCCCTGGGGCCCCATACCTGAACTTGAAGGGGTCACCGTATGCTTGGGGCCTAGTGTCACTTGTGGCTGGGAGTCCCTCAGAGCAGGGCCTCATCCTTTCCACCAGTGTGACAGCCGGCCGGGGGTTGATGGCACCAGCCGTTATGTACGTCCAAAATGAAAAACAGGCTCACTGCAACCTGTGAGACAGGATGGAAGAGAGTTAACTGTCCTTTCTCTGCACCTCCCTGCTGCCCAGAGATCCTGGCCCTGGTGTGTCTTGTACCCCTTTCTCCATTTGCGCACAAACACGCACAACGTACGGTCAGGACTAGGGTGGTAAGCGTGTCGTTAGCTTCTACAGAAATGGATGTGATGCGCGCGTTACCCAGCAGCTTGCCTCTGCCACGAGCATCACCACGCGCCAGTAGCTGGTCAGAGGCGCGCTCCTCCGGGCGGGCGGGCGCCGACGCCCCAGTGGATGTCCCCTCTGCTGGCGGATATGTGGGTTTCCAGGCCTTTTGGTGCTGCAGCCGTGGCCGCCATAGCACCTTTGTCAAAGGATCCTTGCTTCCAGGCGCTTTCCCTACACCGTGATTCCTGAGGCACCCGCCCGAATGGAAGGGACAGGTGGTCAGGCTGCTCTTC